AGAGAATTATTTTTTAATGTTCGAATAAATAAAATTAGTTATTGCATTTGGCTGTTATACTCTTAAAATAAACTAACTGCCCTTCATGTTTACAGACTCATGTCTCAGAAAACAATAAACCTGACCGAGTTGGAGCAGCTGCTGTTCTGGAATTTTGGATTCAGGTCTTAACAAGTCAACAACTGTGGCACAAAGACAAAAGTGTTTTGTATTTGATGGATAATCTTTGTAAAGTGGCATTTCTTCATCAACAGGAAGATTGCTTGCAAAAGTCCCTTTATCAACTGCACAAGGTATCTTGCAGGAAGTTTTCAGATGCAAACTAGCCAAAAAAAAATTGCTGGTACAACTGAACATTGAACACACATGTAGTTTCATGCAGAAGATGAAAAAGCCAAATATCTTTAGAAAAACTTTCTTCATTGATCACTGTTTAGTTTAAAAAAAACTTAAACCACAAACAAGCTAGGAAAAAAATTTCATTCAAAAACATTTAACGTGTATGTTTACTCTTTAAATTGCAAACTAAGCATGGTATTAAAAATTAATTATTGATTTGGGAGTGTTCATATAATATGTCAGTTTGCTTCCGTCTTATTTACAATTCTTATAGCAGTGCAGCCTGTTGCATGTACAAATCCAGTTGTATGTTGTGTTGTTTCTTATAAATCTCTAAAAATATATTCTTCAAACAAAATGTTTAGAGTGCCCTTGGATACCATGGTGATCGTGGATTACTAACTTCATTCATGAGCTGGATGTTAGCTGGCAACTTGACTCCATCATTTATTGAAGGCAATGCCACTTCAACTGAGGTATGACACACATACACATATATATGTACATGTTTTAAAATTCTAATCACATTACCAATAAGACAACCTGTTTTATATCACTGTTTCTGTAAATATTTTAATAACTTGCATATTGGGCTTTGGGCTGACAAGTGACAAGCAATATTTGTGTCACAAAAGTGCCAGGAAATGGCCATGTCCAATATGAGAGAATCTAGCCATTATCCCTTGTCATTCAATGGCATTGCCATCACTGTATCTCCCACTATCAACATTGACCAGAAACTGAACTAGACCAACCTTATCAATACAATAGCTATCGGACCTGGGCATCCTTCAGTAAATAGGTCACCACCTGACTCCCCACATCCTGTCAACCATCTACAAGGCGCATGTCAGGGGTGTGATGGAATATTCCCCATTTGCAACTCCAGCGACAGGTTAGGGGTGCTACTACTGCACCACAAGAGCCGCTGCTCCCTATTTGCTCAGGCAATTAATTTCCACCACGTTTTCCTGTCAACCTTAACAAATATATTAACAAACCATAATGATGTGATTGACCAGACATTAACAATGTCTACATTTATAAAAGAAATTTCTGCCGTAAAGTAATATTTCCATTTCTGCCCCAGGTGCTGTAAGAATTTTTAACGGCAAAATGAACAGTAATACAATACGGATGTAACACAATGGATGACTTTAAAATGGGAACTGTTAGGATGGGAAATGGGAATTATCGTCTAACCTCCTGCCCAGGTTGATAAAGACTGCACTTAGTCCTAGTTTTGCATGTGCAAACAAGATACTTTTGTGTTAGTGCAACAGTTGATGAAGTCAAAATTACTGTGAAAGGATATAGTGGATAAGTGCTTGGCAGAGTCCTTCTAAAGTGTAATGACTTGCTGACGTTTAACTTTTAGGAGGGATGAAAAAGCAGGGTACTTGTGCATTCATTGTTCTTTAAGCACCAAATGCAAGCAGAGGCTATTGTAACAAAGCAAAAATAGCAGTCTCATGTTTTGAATTATGAAGTTTAGGTGTCTGTTCAGTATTACAATGCAGTACCAATTTTTTCTGAATAGGTGTGGTTTTCCTGGATCATATTTAACATGGAGGCAATCTTTGAAGAAGATTCTCAGCTCCGTAGATATGTGGAACTTGAATTAATCAGAAAACCTTCAGTTACTCCAGATCAAGCCTTGAAGGTATATATTAATTCTGTATAGGCTAATTCTATATAATGCAACTTCTTGTGTCTTGACCAATCTAATTGATTATGAAGACTAGTTTATATCAATGCTTGTCAATTAGCCAACATCTGTTGACTGTATGGGTATTGTGGTAAAGAAGGTCCAGATTCAAGTCCCATCCACCATGGTGGTGCATATCATAGCATGTCCAAACAGGATGATTTCAAAAAAGTGTTATCCAGAACGTACTTTTATTGAAGATAAAATTGGTGCATTCATCTTTTGCAAGTGCCAAATATGCCAATATTGGCTGCCCTTCAAGCAACATTTCTTTCATCCTCACCTGGGATTGTTTCTGCTTCTAGAGATCAGCAGGATAGGATTTTGGTGTCTTTCCTGTTTGTCTCTTGTAATTTTGGATTACAGAGTCCTTCTTAATTGAGGGAGGTCGGTGTAACATCTAATGTGTTTACAAACATCACTGGAAAGATTGCTGTTATGGATCAGAGTACTAGGCTGATTCCAACTAAACTGTGTTGGGGGGATGGGGGGGGGTGTGGGGGTTGCATCTAGTAATTGCTTTCGGAACCCTGCTTGGAATCTCTTCCATCAATGAGGTAGAACCCTTAGGAGCATTGATATACAGAGAGATCTTGGAATGGAAGTCCAGAGCTCCCTGAAAGTGGCAACACAAGTGGATAAGGTGGTAAAGAAAGCATACGGCATGCTTGCTTTCATCGGTGGTGGCATTGAGTATAACAGTTGGCGAGTCATCTTGCAGCTGTATAAGACTTTAGTTAGGCCACATTTGGAGTATTGTGTGCAGTTCTGATCCCTACACCATAGGAAGGATGTCGAGGCTTTGGAGAGTGTGCAAAAGAGATTCACCAGGATGTTGCCTGGTTTGGAGAATATTAGTTGTAAGGAGAGGTTGGACAAACTTGAATTGTTTCACTAGAGTGTTGCAGGCTGATGGAGCGACTTGATAGAAGTATATAAAATGATGAGAGGCATGGATGGGGTGGATAGTTGGAGTCTTTTACCCAGGACGGAAATGTCAATTACTGGGGGACACAGATTTAAAGTGAGAGGGAATGTTTGACAGAGATGTGCAGGAAATGTTTTTACGCAGTGCGTGGTAGGTGCCTGAAACACTCTGCCATGGGAGATGATAGAAGCAGATACAATTACAAAGTTTAAGAGTCATTTAGACAGACACGTGAACAGGCAGGAAATAGAGAGATCCAGACCCTGGGCAGGCAGATGGGATTAGTTTAGAATAGCATTGTGGTTGGCTGTTCCTGTACTGTTCTCTTCTGTGTTCTGTAATGTGCTATAGCTAATGTTTGAAGTGCTGGGGCTGAGGAAGCGGCCATTAGTAACTGACTTTCTTATGGATGTTCCCAACATCACAGGTGCCAGTGTTCAGCCAGATTGATTCACTCTGTGATAAAGTAACAGCTGAAGGCACTGGATGCTGCAAAGGCTGACCTGACACATTTCAACAGAAGTACCAACGATTTGCGCTCTAGGATACACCACTCCCTTAGCCAAGTGTTTCCAGTACAGCTGCAACACTGCGTTAACCTCAAAAATATGAGTTACCCAGGCATGTCCTGTCCATAAACGCAGGACAAATCCAGGCCAGTCAATTACCACCCCATCAGTCTACTATTGGTCACCAGCATAGTGATGAAAAATGTCATTGATAGTGCCATTACCTGGCATTTAGTACGTAATAACTTGTTCACTGACATTCAGTTTGGATTCAGCCAGAGCCACTTAGTTCTTGACCTCATTATAGCCTTGATCAAATGCAGACAAAAAGCACTGAACGTGAGGTGAGGTGAGGGTGACATTAAGGCTGCATCTGAGCAAATGTGGCATCAAGACCAATGGGAGCAAAACTGAAGTCAGTTGGAATTGGGGAAACCCCTCCTCTGATTAATTACGCATAGTACAAAGGAGGATGGCAATGGTTGTTAGAGGCCAATTGTCTCAGTTGCAGAAGATAGCAGCAGGAGTTGTTTGGGGTTGTGTCCAAGGTCCAGTTATCTTCATCAATTACCTTCCCTTCTTCATTAGGTCGTAACTGTTACTGAGTATTGCACTGTATTCCATTTATGACTGCTCAAATACTGAAGCAGTCAATTTACATATGTAGTAAGACCTGGACAATATTCAAGTGCTGCAGGTAAGTGGCAGGAAACATGCATGTCACACACCATTGCATTACCATCTACAACAAACGAGAAAGCTCATCAATTTTTCTTGACTTTCAATCATAATACCACCAGTGAAACCCCCCATCACTGTCTTATGAGTTAATATTGACCAGAAACTGAACTGGACCAGCCATACAAATACTGTGGCTGCAAGAACAGGTCAGGAGCTTTGAGGCAGACACCTCATCTCTTGACACCCTAATATCTGCCCAAAATGTGCAAACCACAAGTCAGCAGTATGATGGAATACTGTCCACCTGCCTGAATAAGTGCCGCTCCATCAACATTCAACAAAAGTGATTATGTGTAAGCATGATGAGCCAAATGGCTTCCTTCTGCTCTGTAATAATTCTGTGATGAGCTGGACAAAGTTTACTTGATTGGAACCCCATCTGCCAACTTAAATATTCATTCCATTCATTATCAACACACAGTGACTGCAGCGTGTGCCACATGGGATGATTTTCAGTAACTCAGCTGGGCTACTTTAGCAGCATCTTCCAAACCTACCGCCTAGAAGGACAAGGATAGCAGGTACATAGGATCACCATTCGGAAATTCCCCTGCAAGCCATGAACCATCCTACCTTGGAACTGTAGCACTGTTCCTTTCACTGTCATTGGGTCAGAATTCTAGAACTCCCATTCAAACAGCACTGTAGGTGTCCCTGCAACAGTTCGACAATTAGGGATGGGAAACTGGTGCTACCTTGCCAATGATGCCATATCCTGTGAAAGAATAAATAAGAAGTAGACTTATCAACGCTTATTGGAGTCATATGTGCATTTTAGGTCTTGTAATTGACCATGTGAAATCAGCACATGTGATTTCTTTATAAGACAAATTCAGCAACAAGTAAAGGTTGGGATCGTATGGTTGTGCAATAGTTGTGGGTTCATACAATGCCTTGTGTAACAAGTTCCAAAATCTAGGAGGCCACCCCCAAGAACAGGTCTAAGTGGAAAAACATGGAACATTAAACAGACAAGACATTCAGAGATAGTAGGAACTGCCGATGCTGGAGTCTAAGATAACAAGGTGTGGAGTTGGATGAACACAGCAGGCCAGGCAGCATCAGAGGAACAGGAAAGCTGACGTTTTGGGTCTGAATCCTTCTTCAGAAATGGGGGAGGGGAAGAGGGGTCTGAAATAAATAGAGGGGGAGGCAGTGATGGAAGGTGGATAGTGGAGCAGATCGGTGGAGAGAAGATGGACAGGTCAAGGAGGCGGGATGGAGCTAGTAAAGGTGAGTGTAGGTAGCAAGTTGGGATGGGGATTGATCAGTGAGGAGGGAGGGGTGGGTAGGTGGGAGGGAAGATGGACAGGTCAAGGAGGCGGGGATGAGGCTTGTAGAGCTGAGGGTGGGAGTTGGTCAGTGAGGTGGGAGGAGCGGATAGGTGGGAGAGAAGACAGACAGGTCAAGGAGGTGGGGATGAGAGGTGGTGGGGGTGGTGGAAGCTGACTTTTTTTTTTAAAGTCACCCCTCTACCCCTTACTCAGTAAACTGGCAATGATTCCAGTCTGTCCCACTGCATTAAATCTCTCTCATTTGTACTACTGAGATTCAGAGACTATTGCCTGACAGTTACTGAACTAGTTTAGGGCAGTTATTTAATTAACTGATTTCACCTCTCCAATAAAGAACCTGATTTGCACAACCCATGGCTGATGGTTCTCCACAGTTTCAGGTTACTTGACTGTTGACTGCACCACCGAATCAACATTGAAATCCCGGATTTATAGTTACGACATTTTCTTTGATCAGCATGCATACCAGCACAGAAACTCCTTTATCTCTACAATAGAGCTGGATAAGCATTTGTTCCCAGAGATACAGTAGTTTCTGTCTCATAGTGCATGGAAGTTCAGTATTGCTCCATTTCAAGTTCCTTGAGATCAAAATAGTACAAAAATCACTATCTAAGGGATGTGTGTTAGCATGCCAGTGAATAATCCTTCTCCTTCCCTCCTCCCCTCACCTCGCCTTCCACCCACCCCAGGCATGTAGTACAAAGGACTGATGCCATTCTAGGAACAAGGAAATACTGTTGTAAAAAATGTTTTAAATCATGCTTAACCTAAATTTTATTCTCATATTTTTCTTTTTTCAATGATAAAATTGCCACAGCAGATTTTGTCTTTTCTTTAACTAGTCTTACAATCCCTAGAAGAATCAACCTGTGTTTTTATATTTTAGAAAACTGGAGAATGATGTCATTCCCTGTCTAATTCATTTACAGAAGGCACAAAGCCACTTGAAGTTGCCAGTTGTTCCATCCATTCAGCGGCTAATGATCTATCGCTGGGCCCATCAAGCTTTAGCTACTCCCGCAGATCACCCACTTCTTCCTCTCATCTGGCAGAAGTTCTTCATTCTCTACCTTCATCGGTCTGGGCCAGAGTTTGGGTAACTTTTAACACTTTAAGTTACTTTTCTTGCTGTGTCATTTCAAACATTCTGTTTAAATATTAAATGGATCACTTAAAACTTGGATAATGTGTTTCCTGTTATATGTTTCCTGTTTTAAAGAAAAATTTCTTGCCAGCATTTGTAATTGATTAGTTTGTCAGTTTTTTTTTGTATATTCTTGAGGCAAAATTTCCCATTTAATTGACAAGAATCCACATGGTAGACTGGTTAACAAGGTTAGATCATATAGAATACAGGGAGAACTAGCCATTTGGATACAAGATTAGCTTTGAGGTAGGAGACAGAGGATGGTAATGGAGGGTTACTTCTCAGACTGGAGGCCTATGACCAGAGGTGTGCCACAAAGATCGGTGCTAGTTCCACTACTTATTGTCAATTTATATAAATGATTTGGATGTGAATATAGGAGGTATGGTTAGTAACCTTGCAGATGACACCAAAATTGCTGATCTAGTGGACAGCGAAGAAGGTTACCTCAGAGTACAGCGGGACCTTGTTTAGATAGGCCAGTGGGCCAAGGAGTGGCAGACGGAGATTAATCTCGATAAATGTGAGGTGCTGCATTTTGGAAAAGCAAATCAGGGCAGGACTTATACACCTTAGTGATAAGGTCCTGGGTGTATTGCCGAACAAAGAAACCTTGGAGTGCAAGTTTATAGATCCTTGAAAGTGGAATCACAGGTAGTCAGGATAGTGAAGAAGGCATTGGGTACGCTTGCCTTTATTAGTCAATGCATTGAGTATAGGAATTGGGTGGTCATGTGGCGGCTGTACAGGACATTGGTAAGGCCACTTCTGGAATATTGCTTTCAATTCTGGTCTCCCCTCTGTAGGAAAGATGTGTTAAACTTGAAAGGGTTCAGAAAAGACTTACAAGGATGTTTCTAGGGTTGGGATGTTGAGCTGTATGGAGAGGCTGAATAGGCTGGAGCTATTTTCCTTGGAGCGTCGGAGGCTGAGTGCTGACATTTATAAAAGCTTATTAAGTCATGAGGGGCATGGATAGGGTGAATAGATAAGGTCTTTTCCCCAGGGTAGGGGAGTCCAAAACTAGAGATCATATGTTTGAGGTGAGAGGGGAAAGATTGAAAAGGGACCTAAGGGGCAACTTTTTCATGCAGAGGGTGGTGCATGTATGGAATGAGCTGCTAGAGGAAGTGGTAGAGGCTGATACAATTGCAACATTTAAAAGGCATCTTGATAGTGACATGATGGGAAGGGTGCAGAGGAATATGAGCTACATGCTGGCAAATGAGACTAGATTAACTGAGGATATCTGGTCAACATGGACGAGTTTGACCAAAGGGTTTGTTTCCATGCTGTATATCTCTATGACTGTAATTTTAAGGTAACTGTTGTCATGAATAGTTTAATCATTAAGTGAAGTATTGCCAAACATATCTCCTTTTCCATTCTTAATTGTAGCATGTGCAGAGATTGGCTACATTTTAATTTCGTTTCAGAAAAGTTAAACATTTTTAAAACTTTGAAAACAACATGTAAATAGCCTGTCGCTCTACCAATTTAACGTCTTGGTTACTTCATGCCTGTCTTTTCTTTGAAACTCATCCCTGTAACTGCATTCCTGGCTATAAAGAAAATGCAGTCTGCTGCTCTATCCTTCAGCCTACAGTGGCATTTCTAGTCCCTGATTCACAGCTTCAGATGCCCCTTTCTCGGCTATGAATAAAATTGTTACTATTCTTCAATTTCACATCGAGAGAAAAGCAAACCAAATGTAAATCCAGTATCAAACTTACGAAGAGCCACTAATTTAGATTCTTTTTTTCAATTTTCATGGCCTTTATCATTTCTACTACTTCATTACTTCAGAGTAGGGTAAATCATTGATTGGGATTGTAAAATGGTAGAAGTTCTTATGTATGTTATGTATATTTTATAAAAGTTGAGGATATGAATTGAAATGTTGAAAAGTGTTTGGAGGATGAATCTGTCACTTTTGGAGCAAGCAGTGCATATGAAATCACAATAATTTGGTGCTGCTTTAATCATAATATTTGTACTTAAAGTACCAATAGTTTATCTTTTATTCAGTTTGCCAGTAAGTGGCTGTATTGGAAAACGTTATTTTTATACAACTTCGCACTCTAACTTGCTGAAAGAAATGAAAAAGCGCCTTGTCGAAATAGCAGACTTTCACCATGCAGCTGGTAAGGCTGTAAATATCTGGAAGGATGTAGATCGTGCTGACAATGCCTCAACATTGAAAGAGAAAAATGCAAGTCACCTGCTTGAATCCATGACATCCCCAGAGCTGCATAAAGAATTGCTCAGGTAAAAGGTCACTTCACTACTGCAGTTTGTTTACTTGCACCTCTTGCCACTTTGTGATAAATAGGAAATGTTTCCCACAGCTAAAATCACTACATCCTCTTTACTTATATGGTAGGAGGTACGAACCATAAGATAAAACTTACCTTGAGAGGATAGCAGCCCTGAATTGAATGGTGTGGATTAAATAAAATTGAATGTTGAATATGAAAACATTTACACAGAATGTAGAAGACCAAAACAAGGATGAGGGAGGACAGTTGGTTTTACTAGTCTGTCTGTTGCATCTCTGTATTTGCTCTGTTGCTCTGCTCTAACTTAATTGTATTCCTGTTGTTCTATGATATTATTGAGATATTGTACAGAATTATTATTTAACAAGATCCACAGTTTGGGATTAGTTCCTTCCTTAGAGACTGAGTCTGAATGATAACGGCCACTGGTGCAGGTAAGTCACACCAGGACTATGAGTCGCTTAGGGTTAGGTGAGATAAATATTGACTGGAGGTGGGAGATGGTGGAATCAGGGGAGATTTGAGGGCTAGAACAAGAGGCACCAGAGGAGAATTTGAGGTGGAGGGTGTCTGAGACCCATGGGAACAAGGACCAAAGCTTGGTGCTGTTGCAGTGGTCAAGACCTGGTTGGAGTATGCAGAGGAGATTGAAGACCTTGTATAAGATGGGTGATCAGTGATCGCAGAGATTGTTCAAGCAGGAACCTGGCGGTAGTTGTGAACGCACTTGCCCCCAAACCTAAAATCATTTTGCCTCAAGGAATCTGTTGAGTTACTTGGCACTTTGGAAACCCAGCTGATGGCTGTTAAATTTCCATAGCAGCATGACAATGTGGTACATACACTTTATCATATTTAAAGTTCCAGGCTGCAGCTTTTGGATTGGATTGGTTGCCCATCCAACTTCTTGCCTGTTAAAACCTGACATGGGCAGGTTAGTTCAGTGTTTGAGTCAGGAAGTTGAATTTTCTGACTTTTAACTGAACCTGCACCAATCCCAGAGCACATTTCTTTAAAATTAATATTCTGCCCCTTGTTGCTGTGATCTTTTCAATTTCATCCTTACTCACATGTGTCACTGTAATCAACCCCTGGCAGTGTGAAGTCACTTAAAACTAAAGACATTTGAAATGTCTAATAGTTTCAATTGCCTTACTTGCTGGACCATACGTTCACATTTTTTCAAAAAAATATTGCTTAATATTACAATGTGCCTTGTAGTTTGAACATTATCCTGGCACGTGGATAATTAACACACTATTCAAAACCATGCACAACACCCATAGTTGCCACAAATCCAATCAGCCCAAGGCAGTAAGTAAAAACAAAACTATAGATACTGGAAAACTGAAACAAAAGCACAAAGTGCTGAAGGAACCTCGCAGGTCTGGCAGCATCTGCAGAGAGAAAAACAGTGTTAGTGTTTCGAGCCCAATGACCCTTTTTTAGAACAAACATTATTGTATGTATGTATATATATAAAAGTTATACATGAATGAAAGTAGCAAGAACAGCAACTAGTGAAAATAGAAAAGCACAAGCACGCTTTTCATAGACATGCTGCACAATGGCCACAGCTGGAAAAACATTTTAAAAATTGGTTAATAGAGCACTGACAAATGGAATTTCTGTAACCACCGATATGAGTGTGTGTGAAACATGATAAATAGTAGCAAGTGGGATTACTGATTTTGATGGATCAGTATCTTAGAAAGATATTTAAATTTCACCAGTTTGTGGTTCGTGCAAGGACAATCTGCATTTTGAAGTTAGGCTGATAGTTAATTCCCTCAACTTTTGATGTTCGATCAAACAAAACAGTACCTTAGAAGAGCTAAAACAATAACAATTAAAAAATATCTGGTCATAAGAAGACCGTCATCTCAGCATGTTCTGATGACAAAAAACTATAACCATTACTTATCTTTTGGGGGAAACCCACACCCAAGTCTGAAATCAGAATTCTTCGCATTCATTTTAAGGGATGGATGAATGAGAAAGTATACCGTTGTGGCTCCAAAAAGTGTAGCCAAATTGACCAGGTGGGCCACTGCCTTAAGAAGGGGCCACAAAAAAAAGGAGGTGGGTGATAGAATTAAAAGATGCAGCTGCCTGTAATTCCAGGTGGAATTGTAAGCCGTTTATGGTAAACAAACCTTTAAAAAAATCTATGCATTAGGAATGGATAGAGGCTCCAAAATATGACACTAGCAGAGCGAATGAAGAAAGATGCCATTTATCAGACGTCTGAGTGAGTGAGAAATTTGTGGCAAATAGTGGAAACATTCACTGTTAAATCATTCAAAAATGGAAAGATCAGCAATGCCCTAGGTGACAGCGAAGGTGAAGATGGTGACAAATTATGTGAGGGCAGTAATAAGAAATTTTTGGGCTTCTGTAAGTATTAAGATTTAACAGTGTACTGTTAGTAAGTGTTAATAATTAAACTTAGTGCTGTGCTGTGTTGTTTTGTTCTATGACGGCAAATCTCTATATGCACTGAAATGACTTTTTCTTGGAATTTTCCTTTTAAAAGTTCAGGTATGTTTTATGTTCCGGTGCATCTTACTGTCCAGCAAATATGACAAGCAGTCTAACTGACAAAGTAGAAACCTGGTGCTTACATATATATTTTCAGCCGCTTTGAATTTAGAGCGGATTCTCTTTCACTGGCTGGGGAGTTTAAAAATAGGTGATGTAATTTCAAAGTTAGAGTCATAGCGTTCAGGACTGAAATGATGAACATCTGCTGGACACAAAATATAGTAGAAATTTGAAACAGTCTTCCACAAACAGCACTAAATGCTAGATTTTACATCTGAGATTCATAGTTAAAGAACAGTATTAAGGGATTTGAGGCAAAGATGAGTTTATGGAGTTACGTCATAGACCAACTATTGAACCGGCTCAAGGAAATAAATGTCTTGTTTCTGTGTTGCTTTATTTAAATAATTTGATTTCTAGCAATTCGGGATTATTGACCTGATTGCGAGAGATTATTTTGTGATATTACTTCCATGTGGAATCTTGCTGGCACAGAGATTGTGTTGTGATTATCCACTTGATGTCAATTACTGCAATTCTAAAGCAGTTAATTGTATGAATCATTTTGTTCTGGGGTAAAGGGGCTACATAAATGAGTGGTTGTTCTTTTAATAGGCTTTTCCATGTTTTTGCCTTTTGGTTGGATGATATGAATCTACAAAAGACTGATCTTTATCTGCCTTCTCTACCGGTGCAGTATGATACGCATAGATTGGCAAAGGTCATGCAGAACCAGCAGGTATGTTGGCTTGCTTATCATGCTTTAACCTAACCAAGTCATTAAGTAAGATATTTTTAATCAAACTGTTGAGATGGATTATAACACACATCTGGAACTACTAGGCTTGTTCTAAAATCAAGAAAACAGGCCTTCTGGCTCCAAGATAAGAACACTACCACTGTATAACAAGAACCCTAATTATTAAATAAGAAGCATGAAATAAAATTAGCCTAATTCAGTCTAGTTGTTACAAGATTTTAACTTGTTTTATGTTTATTTAGGATCTTTGGACTGAATATGTGGATAATGAACGTATTAAGCACGAATTCATTGAGACATTGAATCTCTGGATCCAGCTTCACCAAAAGCCTTCTGCAGCATATAGGGCATCAAATTTGAATAACTTTTTTGATCCACTTTCGGGCAAGTGTTTCAAAGCATTAAGTTATCATAAATAATGGTGTTAATAAATGTAAAGTACATAAATTTTAATGAAGGCTGGAATTGAAAACATGCTGAAGTATGTACAAAATGATGTATTTCTTTATCACACTTTTGTGATGGAAATCATCTGTAATCTGGCAGATCAGCAGGAAATTGAGCATCAGACAGCAGAATTTGATTTTAGAAAAAGCACAGTATGAAATCCAGATGTTAGCCTGCAGATTTTATAAAGCAAACGCAAAGATCTGGTTTTCATCAAGGGACTTAAACTTTGGAGACTGTGCATTGATTCACCAAATTGTGGAAAATAATGGCACCACTAATTAGTCCTACTAGCAAGTTTTATTATTGATCACTAGGTTTTCTCCCACAATTGTTATGGTGACTAGTTTTTCTTTCCATTTTAGCAAAAGACAGAATCTTCAGCAATCTGAAGACCCACGATGCCCCTGTCCCTACTCTGTCCCCACAACGTGTGAAAGCTCCTGTTCCAGATATTATTGAAACTAGTCTATCAGACAAAAAGGTGGCAATTAAACTCATTCAACAAAATCTTAACATCTTACGACAGCAGGCAAAGTAAGTGACTAGCCACATTAATTAGTCTTTTTGCTGCTTGAGGAAAGGATCTGTTAAAGATTAGCATATTTGAATGGGAAGTAAAATGTTTTTGGGAGCTGCGAAATTCTATTCAAGATAATATGAATTCAATGTTAAAAAGTTGTAAAAAAAATTGAATAAATTTTGAGAATAAACATTCCTTTAGACTATTTAAGAAAAGGTAAGAGAGGAGATTGGTTAGCAAAACCATCTTTTACTTTGGTAATTTACTAGAATTAATGATGGAGTGACTGAACACCTTGAGAGAGCCAGTGTGGATTTATAAAGATTAGGCCATGCGTGATCAATCTAATTGAATTCATTTGTAGAGGTGACCAAAGCAGTTAGGAGAGAAATGTCTATGCATGTCATTTACACAGACTTCTAGAAGGCATTCAGTCAAGTTCTTCATAAGACACTCTTCCATAAACTTCAACTTTAGCTATTGAAGGCATGTTACTGACTTGGTTAGGAAATGATCTGCTTCCACTCAGCCAGAGAATCGGAATGATGGTGTGTACTCTTTTTAACAAGACATTTTTAAAATTCACTTCTTGGATATGGGTATTGCTGGCTAAAGTAACATGCATTGTCCATCTCTAAATGCCCTGGAGAAGGCAACCTGCCTTGTTGAACTGCTGCAGGATATAGAGTTATATGGTATTTGACTTGGAGGAGAACTTTCAGGTGTTTTTTCTCTCCCCCCTCCATGCCTCTGCAGCTCTTGTGCTCGAGATAGGTAGAAGTCACAGATTTCGAAGGTGCTGTGCAAGTAGACTAGTGACATGCTGTAGATATCTCTATGGGAACCTCAATGATCAAGTATATTTCTTAATGACTTAGCTGATGGGATAGAAAACCACGTTCAGGTTTACTGGTGCACAGAGATGATAGCATCGTAAGCAGTTTGAACAGAAGGGTAAATTTGCAAAGAGATGTTAACAAATTATGTAAATAGATAAAACCTTGGCAAGTTGATTTCTATATAGGTAAATATAAGGCCATCCTCTTTGTGCCATAAAAAGATATATATCAGGGTTCTTTCTAAATGGTGAAAATCTAGAAAATCCAAGAGATTTGTACATAAATAACTAATATTTCATGAGCGCATGTGAAAAAATCAAAACGACTAACAGAAGATAGATCTTAATAGCTAAAAAGACGAGAATGCACAACATCAGAATTTATGTTGTAGCTGTGCAAAGCTCTGATTAGACCACCGCAACTGGATTAGTACACAAACAAAGTTGCTGGAAAAGCCCAGCAGGTCTGGCAACATCTGTGAAGGAGAAAACAGAGTTAACGTTTCAGGTCTGGTGACCTTCCTCAGAACACAACTGGATTAGTGTTCAGAGATAGTAGGAACTGCAGATGCTGGAGAATCCGAGACAACAAGGTGCAGGGCTGGATGAACACAGCAGGCCAAGCAGCATCATAGGAGCAGAAAGGCAATGCTGCTTGGCCTGCTGGATTAGTGTTCAGTTCTGGGCACTACATTTTTGAATTAAGTTGCAATTAAATATTACAGAAAGTATTCTAGTACACACCTTACAAATAAGAACAAGGAACAGTACAAAGCAGGAACAGGTCCTTCACCCACCAATACTTCGCTGACACATGATGCCTTTCCAAAAGCTTTTGCCTCTTATGCGGTCCATATCCCTCTATTCGCTGCTTATTCATATATCTGTCAAGATGCCTCTTAAAGTTGCTTTTGTATCCGTCTCTCACACCTCTTTTAAACTTACCTCCTTTAAACTTACCCCCTTTTACCTAAACTTGTGTCTCCTAGCAATTGACATTTGTACTCTGGGGAAAAAGACTCCGACCTTCTATTCTATCCATGCCTGTATAATTTTGTAAACTTCTATCGGGTCACCCCTAAACTTCAGCATTCACTCGAAAGCAAATCAAGTTTGTCCAATCTCTCCTCATAGCTAATAACCTTCAAACCAGGGAACATCCTGGCAAACCATTTCTGTACCCTTTCCAAAGGCTCCACAGCCCTCTTGTAGCATGGCGACCAGAACTGTACACAATATTCCAAATGTAGCCTAACTAAAGTTTATGCCCCTGCAACATGACTTGCCAATTTTTATATTCTGTGCCCTGACCAATGAAGGCAAGCATGCTAAATGTCTTCTTGACCACCTTATCTACTTGTGAATAAGAGCCAGGCCTTTCAGTGATGAAGTCAGGAACATTTCTGCGCAGAGTTTTAGTAGTTTGGAGCTCTTTTTGCCAAATGGCAGTCATTCTGAGTCAGTTGTCAATTCTAAATCTGTGATTGTTAAATTTCTGCTCACCAGAGAGAGGTATTAAGGGATATAAGGAAAAGATGGAAACAGATTACAGATCAATGATTATTCCATTGAATTCAGTATGGACTTGAGGTTTACTCCTGTCTTATGTTACAATTAATAGCATGAAAAACACTTCAGTGATCATATCAAGCAGGCATAAAATCAGGAAACAAAAACAAAGTTGCTGGAAAAGCTCAGCAAGTCTGGCAGCATCTGTGAAGGAGAAAACAGAGTTAACGTTTCAAGTGACCCTTCCTCAGAACTGATAGTGGCTGGGAAAACGTCAGTTTATATGCAGAAAATAGGGAGGTGGGTGGGGTAGGGAGTAAACGATAGGATAGAGCCCGAAGAGAGAGAAAGACAGCTGGACAGTCAAAGGAGTTGCTAACGATCAGGCTGAGAGGGTGAGTAGTTGTTAATGGGGACTGTTAGTGACTGACAACAGGGGGTGTGTAATGGCAGGCTATGTGGTAACAAAGCCTGATGTGTGGGGTGGGAGGCTGGGACATGGGAGAGTTTAGGCCCTAAAATTATTGAACTCAATATTGAGTCCGGAGGGCTGTAGGGTCCCCAAGCGGCAAATGAGGTGTTGTTCCTCCAGCTTGCATTGGGCTTCACTGGAACACTGTAGCAAGCCGGAGACAGAGATGTTGGCCAGGGAGCAGTTCTTTTGGTTTTTATAAAATCAGGAAATGCTGGAGAAACTCAACAGATCTGACAGCATCTGTGGAGAGAGATTTAACGTTTCTCCAGCATTTTTTTGCTTTTAAATTAGATTTCCATCTTCCACAAAGTTTTGTTTGTGTCAAAAAGGCACATTGTTATGACAGATGTGGAGCAGTTAAAAAACATCCAAGTACTCTATCCGTAAAGGATTCTGTAGTAATCCAGGGGCCCAGGCTAATGCTCTGGGGATGTGGGTTCACATCCCACCTTGGGCACCTAGTGGATTTTAAATTAGTAAAGCTGGAATTCAAAAGTAGTCTCTCTAATGGTGATGATGGAAATAGCATCAATTGTTGTAAAAACCCACCTAGTTCAGGCAGTTATGGATATGCAATGAATGTTGGATTTACCTGCGATGCCCATGAAAGAATAAATCTAAAAGAAGGATTCTGAAGAAGATAGCTTTCAAGTAAATGGTGGTTCAAATCAAATTGTATGTGGCAACACTTTGTGACTTATAGATAATGCCTGGTGAATAGCTCCTCATGAGTGACGATCTGTCAAGCTGTCTCACCTTGGTGTGTACACCATTCTATAATTCCATCTCTTGACATAATATTCCCCAATGACAGCCACATTTGTTCACTTACTTTTGCTGTTGTTTGTTAATTAATTGTAAATTAGCTATCAATAAATCTAATCTTCTAAGCTTAGACTATATATGACTAAAATGGACTTAAAATATTTCTTGAATTGTGGACAAAATAACCTTTTCTCAAAATAACCTTTTCTCTTCTTCAGAATTGCAGCCCAATGGGAGTCGCAGCAAACAGTGCTGGACTGTGAGCTTTTGGAAACATTACCTAAATTGTACAGCAATCGAGAGGAACAAATCACAAAGAAACTAGAATGCCGCGGTAGCTCTTCAAATCATGTATGCCAAGGAGCAGCAAAAATCTCTGTGAAGGTTGGTAATTATTTCCCCTTGTTTATGCTGCATGATTAAAGCAACCAAACGTAAAATTAAATATAACTTGATACCTAATTCATTGCCTTTAGAGTATGGAAAAATTTACCCAATTAATTATGGTGCTTCAAGGGATAATGTAACTTTCATTATGATGGAAATGAGGGCATTATTGCCTTGACCTGGTCATTCTCATTTTCAATACTTAAAGGTCCCCTGAATTGACTAGATTTGAAACCACTCGAAATACACCTCTATAGTGTTTGTTGTATCATAGAAAACTTTCAGCTGAAGTATACGGGTTGATAAAAAGGAATATATTTTTGGATATTTTTTGCATAGTTTTCATCCTTGGTCCTTTGCAAAGCACCCCATGTTGAAGGGTATTTCACTTTGTAAAGAAAGAAGCAGACTTTTATGTAGAACTATTTCCTGACTCAGGCTGACTCCAAGTTTCTTCATATGACAATGGCAATTGTGGTCAGTGCCAAAACAGAAGCATTCACTGCTGACTGCTTGAAGAATTACAACTTTACCTTGACTCTAAGCTGAAATGGGAACCTGCTCTCTCGAACTGCAGCATGGGTCCAATGGTGAAGTCTGTGGATAGGCTGAGTCTTATGGTACATTGCCAACAAAGCTAAATCCCTTTTTGATGTCATAAGCTGAAACCTCCTTGAGGGTATCTGTGTACCAGTTTTAAATCATAGGACTCCGCAGCTCTGCTCTAACACCCCATCCCACCCCAACTTCCTGACCCCTGTGGGTTTGGAGAGCATTTGCAGGCACAGCAGCGAATAATGAAGCAATTAAAATTAGGTATGCTCAAGGAGCTAGAATTGGAGAAGCACATGTATCTCAGAATTGTCGACCTGAAGGAGATTTTGAGATGAGCAAGCCAAGATGGTGGAGTCTTGATAATATTACTACACTGGAAATCCAGAAGCCCAGGCTAATCTTCTGAGGGAATGGGCTGAAATCCACCAGCAGCTCCTGGGATTTACATTTCAGTTTATAAAATCTGGTATGTATACCATCCATAATGATGACCACAAAACTATCATTGTGTATTGGAAAATCCCATCAGATTTACTAATCTCCTTAAAGGGAATGACATCTGCAATGATCTAACAAGCTACTCAGTTCATGGACAACAAAACCTAGACTTACCAACATTATCCACATCACATGAAACAACAAAAATAAATAACTGTTAACAGCAGAAAGAAGGGAAGGTTTATTTGCAGTGCAACTGCCATTCTTGTTCATTAGCTAACTAATGGTATACAGTATATGTGGAAACCACTTTGTTTTTCTTTACTCATTCATGGATGAGGGGTGTTGCTGGCTAGGCAGCATTTATTGCCCATCCCTAATTGCCCAGAGGTCAGTTACGAGTCAACCACATTGCTGTGGGTCAGGAGTCAAATGTAGGCCAGACCAGGTAAGGATGGCTGTTTCCTTCCCTAAAGGACATTGGTGAATCAGGTGGGTTTTTCCACAAATCGACAATAGATTCACGGTCATCATTATATTCTTAATTCCAGATATTTATTGAATTCAAATTCCACCATCTGCTGTGGTAGGATTTGAACCCAGATGCCCAGAACGTTATCTGGGCCTCTGGATTGACACTCCAGCGATAATACTACTACACCATTGCCTCTCCATATAAGTGTTTTATTTTTATGGACTGAGTCTGATTTCCCATTTACCAGTTTTATAGGAAGATTTATTTCATGAAATCTTCTGTCCTTCACCTTATTAATTATGCATCTAGACTTGTTGGCATCCTTGCTGTAGAATCATGCAGCTGAAGAGGTAAAAGTGCTCACCACTATTGGGTTGTTCCAACATGCATTCTACTAGCACTATTAATATCTGAAGTCCAGCCGCGCACCTTTACGAGTGGAGTATTGAAGTAGTCCATGCCCAAATGCAGCAAGACCTGGACAATATCCAGGTTTGGGCTGACAAGTAGCAAGTAATGTGTGTACCGCACAAATGCCAGGCAATGATGATCTCCAAAGAGAGAGAATTGAACTATATCACCATTTGATTTTCATTGGTGTTAACATCACTATCAACATCCTAAGGGCTACCATTGACCAGGAACTGAACTGAACTGAACCAGCCATAGCCAGAGGCTAGGAATCCGACAACAAGGAACTCAATTGATTCCCAAAGCCATCTACAAGGCACAACTCAGGAGTATGAAACACTGCAAGTTGCTTGAATGGATGTAGCTCCAACAACACTGAAGAAGCTTGACACCATCCAAGAGAAGCAGACCTCTTGATCGGCATCATATTCACAAGCATTCACTCTACCACTGACCGCCAGTAGCAGTAATGAGTACCATCTGCAAGATACACTGCAAGGTGAGAGAGGAATAAGGGGCCTCAACCTCACTGTAAGGCACAAGTTTCGCTCAGGCTCCCAGGGTGCCGAGCAGGCTCCAGTAGAGGTTAGGAGGAGTCATACACACAACCCACAGAAGCTTCTTCTCGGGACGCTTCAGAGGTGCCTGGTCCATCCACCTCCCCTGTGTCTGTGATCAAAATGCCCACTCATTATGTTTTCAGTCACATTGCACCTCCTGTGATCCCAAAGCTTACAGAATGCTAAGCCAAAGAGGATAAGCCTGCATCTGGGCAAGACCCTGCAGGCCCAAATTGCCCCTGGGAACACTGTCCAAGTCTTCCTAGCTGACAGGGACAGCTACAGAGCAGGTACCCTCCACCCCAACTGAGGAACTTGGGCTCGCAGTCCGATTATTATAGGAGGGAGCAAAAAAAAAAATGTTTGTGTTCAAAATACTTGAGAGATTTTCAGTCTCTTCAGATGTCCCATTGATGAAAGAAGTTGTAATGGACAAATTACCATTGACTGTGGATACCCTCAAGCCATCAGAGATCTTTGAACTGTGGCATTGATTACTGCTGTCAAGGAATTACATTTTGATATGGAGAGCACTGAGGCAGTATACTAGGGCCTGGTTTTGAATAATGATTCTATGGGGAACATTCCATCTTGTGTATGAACTTTTCAAGGAAGCACACTGCTTTTCACATTCACTTACCCTCAGTGCAGTGGTCTGCTGAGAAAAGCTGGACAAAACACTGTCTCTTGTAGATTCAGTGCTCTCCTTCAAGATGCTAAAGCATTTGAGGACAGCCTGGCAGTCTACACACTTTCAGAAATAATGAAGGATTACCAACCTGCTGGATATCAAGAGAGATTCGCTGTACAGCCATTGGGTGTTATATACTGATTGAAGCTTTAAGAGCTAGCTAGCCTTGAGGCCTTTGAATGTTAGTTCACACTGTCATTGATTACTGCTGTTTATGGCGAGTAGTATATGTAATATGTAGACATTTGAAAAATTACCTGAAGATTCCAAGCTTACAGTTTGATGGTTAACTAGACATTAATTCAACAGCAAAGGTGAAGGACTGAAAAAGTAGAAATGTCCACGTGTCTCACGAACTTGATTGAGTTTTTTTGAAGAAGTAACGGAGAGGATTGATGAGGGCAGAGCGGTGGACGTTGTCTATATGGACTTCAGTCAGGCGTTTAACAAGGTTCCTCATAGACCGGTTAGCAAGGTTAGATCATATGGAATCCAGGGAGAACCAATCATTTGGATACAAAACTGGCTTGACAGTAGAAGACAGAGGGTTGTGGTGAAAGGTGGCTTTTCATACTGGGGGAGGTCTGTGACCAGCGTTGTGCCATGAGTATTGGTGCTGCGACCACAGCTTTTTGTCATTTATATAAAATGATTTGGACATGATCATAAGAAGTATGGTTAGTAAGTTTGCGAATGACACCAAAATTGGAGGTGTAATGGACAGCGAAGAAGGTTACCTCAGAATACAACAGGATCTTGATCAGATGGGCCAGTGGCAGATGGCATTTAGTTTAGATAAATGTGGGGTGGTGCATTTTGAAAAGGCAAATCAGCGCAGGACTTATACACTTAATGGTAAGGTCCTGAGGAGTGTTGCTGAGCAAAGAGACCTTGGAGTGCAGGTTCATAGTTCCTTGAAAGTGGAGTCGCAGTTGGATAGGATAGTGACGAAGGCATTTGAAATGTTTGCTTTTATGGGTCGGTGCATTGAGTGTAGAAGTCGGGAGATCATGTTGCGGCTCTACAGGACATTGGTTAGGCCACTTTTGGAATACTGCGTTCAATTCTGGTCTCCCTGCTATAGGAAGGATGTTGTGAAACTTGAAAGGGCTCTGAAAAGATTTACGAGAATGTTGCCAGGGTTGGAGGGTTTGAGCTATCGGGAGAGGCCGAATAGACTGGGGCTGTTTTCCCTAGAATGTCGAAGGCTGAGAGGTGATGTTATTGAGGTTTATAAAATCATGAGGGCATGGATAGAGTAAATTGACAAGGTCTTTTCTCCAGGGTGTAGGAGTCCAAAACTAGAGGGCATAGGTTTACAGGGAAAGATTTAAAAGGGACCTAAGGGGAAACTTTTTAACACAGAGGGTGGTGCATGTATGGAATGAGCTATCAGACAAAGTGGTGGAGGCTGATACAATTACAGCATTTAAAAGGCATTTGGCTAGGTATAGGAATAGGAAGGTTTTACAGGGATATGGGCCAAATGCTGGCAGATGGAACTAGATTAATTTAGGATATCTGGTCAGCATGGAGGAGATGGACCAAAGGGTCTGTTTCTATGCTGTATATTTCTATGACTTTATGTCCTTTTAAGGGCCTGTTTGCCATATTATTAATCAATTTTTTGAAAGTTTAACGAAGTTCAAACTCTACTCGTTTTTCCTGGGAGTGGATTTCAGTGGTGTTATCTCTGGATTCCCACCCTCAAAGATGCAATGCTCTGCCTTTCTTGAATAGCCAACCTCGTCAACGTCCTGATCCTCATTATTATCATCATCATCATCCTCACCCTCAGAAGATTTCTGCCACTGTCATATTGCATCTGCATTCACAGCATCTCATCCATACATCCCTGTTAACTCCAGTTGCAAAGGGTACAGCATGCCACAATGAGGTGGCACACCTTTTGATCAAGAGTTAGCCAGAGTAGTACATGCATCAAAACCTCATGGAAAGGAGGTCTCTGGACAATTCCACTGTGACCCTGATGAAAACATGGACATTCTTCATTCTGTATCAGTCTTAGAGTTTCATCAACATGTCATGAGCCATGTTTGAAGGAGGTAGCCCTTGTCCATAGCAATCATTGCTTTATAGCCCAAAGATCATGGAAGTATGGAGGAAACTGAGTTGAGGATTGAGCCCAGCCAGGTAAATGACATTTCAATGGGCGAGTATTTTGGGAACAGCGACCATAATTCTGTAAGTTTTAAGTTACTTACGGCTAAGGATAAGGTTTGTCCTCGGGTGAAGGAACTAAACTGGGGAAATGCTAGCTACCATGTTATTAGGCAGGAACTGTTGTTTGGGGCAGCTGTTTGATTGCCAATTCACATCTGGCATTTAGGAATATTTTAAAGGCTCATTGACTAGAGTTCAGGACGGCATGTTCCTGTGAAAATGAAGGAAAAGGATAGCAAGATTTGGGAACATTTTGAAATTGAGAGCTTAATCAAGCTATCCTTATTGTTCATTTGCACAGGAACATGCTTGTCCTTGAATGGACCTACCCTTTCCCCAGCTGCCCTCTTGCTCCTAATATACGTATGAAATGCCTTGGGGTTCTCCTTACTCCTCCTCGTCAAGAGCATTTCATGGCACCACTTAGCCCTCTTAATGTCTTGTTTAAATTCTTTTCTGCCCCTTTTATATTCTTGAAGGGCCATGGCTGATTTCAGTTCCTAATGTTATATATGTTTCAATTATCCTCTTGACTAAAATTTCAATATTGCTTGTCATCCAGGGTTCCAGAATCTTGCCATCTTATCTTGCATCATCACAGGCACATGCTGGTCCTGAACTCTGATCAACTAACCTTTAAAAGACTCTCACATGTCAGTTATGGATTTTACCCTCAAACAGCGTCCCCCAGTCTAATTTCTCCATTTCTTGCCTTCCCCCAGTTTAGCACTTTCATCTGAGGACCAATCCTATCCTGATCCTTAACTGTCTTAAAACTTCCGGAATTATGATCACTGTTCCCAAAATGTTCCCCCATTGAAACTTCAATTACCTGGCCAGGCTCATTTCCCAGTGAAAGGTCTACCATAGCCCCTTCCTTAGTTGGACTATCTACATATTGTTCCAAGAAACCCTCCTGGATGAACCTAACAAATTCTGTGTCGTCCAAGCCCCTAGCACAAAGGGAGTCTCAATCAATATTGGGGAAGTTAAGATCACTCACTACAACAATACAGAAATACAAATCCAAATTTAAAGCTATACATTTTTTTTTTCACTTTAGAGCCCAAGTTTGCAAATGACAGTAACAATATGTCATGAACCTTCACCACACCAGTTAAAATCGAGACAAGAAAATTTCTTCACTCAGATTGTGAATCTATGAAATTTTCTGCCCCAGAGGGCTGTGGAAGCTCAGTTATTACGTTCAAATCACAGATCAATAAGAATTCTACATACTGATGGCATCAAGCACTGTGAAGATAGCACTGGAAAAAGGGATTGAGGTTAATGATTGGGCATGACCTAGAATGGTGGAGCAGCTGAATGGCCTATCCTTGCTCCTATGTTTCTATTTTGCATAGCTGCAAATAGCAGACACCATCAAAGAAACAAACGTATAGTCCATGAAAAATTCATTTTTTTAAAACAAAAAGCCGAGAAAACTACTTCAGTATTTCATACTTATCGATTAATGATGTGAAAAAGACAAATATCATTGGAAAGCACATTAATATCATTGTGAGTGACCAAAATCAAGGATCATCAATATGAACTTGTTACCACTAAATCTAATAAAAAGGCCTCTTGTGGTATAGTGGCAATATCCATACCTCTGAGCTGGGAGATCTGGGTTTATGTCCCACCTGCTCCGGAAGTGTGTAATAATACTTCTGAACAGGTTGCTGAAAAATAAATCCAATAAGGAATTCAGATCAAGGTGCAGAGCTGGATGAACACAGCAGGCCAAGCAGCGTCATAGGAGCAGAAAGGCTGACGTTTCAGGCCTAGACCCTTCATCAGAAA